AAACAAAAACAACATATGGCATCTTTATGGATCTCAGAAAGTGACAAATAATAATCTTGTTCGTGCATAAAGAGATCCCTTCTTCTGGTTCTACATAAAATCCAAGTAATACGGCTAATATATAATATGCCATACAAGTTCTCTCTTCCACACAGAGACATCATATCTGACCACAGAACAGTACGACAGTTTGCCCTTTTCCAGCAGCCACAGAAACCCCTGTTTAAGGTGGTTATTCTCTCACCAAGCGGTTCGTCAGCCACTGAGATGCGCAGACACAGTGGACGCGGAAGAGAGAGGCGAGCCCGGCTTTGGATGGGCGCGTCAGGGATGAAGGTGACTGGGCCATGCTCGGGACAGTCTGAGGTATATGAGCGCTCACACAGTGTGCACCCTGGAAGACAATAACAGCACACAAGTAAAGCTTAGTACATAATATACATAATGTGTACAAAATACTTGCTTTCGTACACCATGTCTATTTCACTTCAGTTCTATGACTGCTCTTCTACAATTCTACAAGCAACATATTTTTGCTGAATAATATAATCTCCCAATGAAAATCATTTCCTATACTTTTTTTAGATCTAGAAACATGACCTTCAACCCATTGATATATTTTTTAACATCTGAAGAATATATTACAAAAACACACTCACAGATGGTGTAGGCAGTGACCATGTTCTCCTTGTTGGAGGTAGAATCCTCTAGCTGCAGGGTAGAGTTGACCAGCACCAGGTTGTTTTCAGGCCCCAGTGACACCTCTGCAGTGATGGGGGACACGTTTACTGCCTCCAGCCCCATCCCAGAGTGTCCATGGAGTGACACCGGCTCCAGTTGGCCCTGGCTGGCCATGGAGCCGGTGAGCACCACGCTGACAACGCCTGAGTTCAGCTCCCCGTTTGAGTGGAGCTGCTCACCGAGTCCTCCTGCTCCTCCTCCCCCAGCGTTCCCCACCCGGCCCCCCATGTGATCAGACTCCATCACCACCGGTAGTTCGAGCACAGGGGGCCCGTGGAGGGGCATCACCCCACCGGATGAGTCCACCCCGGTCAGGCCCTCGTGCGGCTGAGGCTGCCGCCCGCCTCCGAGCTGCTGCTGTGTGTCGGACACCGCCACCACCCCGACTCCATCCATGGTGGCCAGCTCCTCTCCCATCCGGTCAGGGGACATGGGGCTGCTGACACGTGACTCCATTGCCAACCCTGTAGAGTCCAGCTCGTGACCCCCAGTCTGGTGGAGGTCTCCCTGGCCGCTGACCTGTCTAGAGTCCATGGGCACCAGGCCCT